GTCACAAACAAGACATTCTAATCTACGGCAAATCTTTCATTTCTAGAAATTGCTGCTGCAACAGAGGAGACAGCAATAAGCTTTAATATTGCCTTTTGAACTCTACAGTTTCTCCAATGCTATTTTCTCTAGGTTTTTTTTTTTTTTAAACTGAAAAATCCCAATTAAAAATGCTTTTGGCAGAAAGAAAACACTCATATTTAGCATTTTGCCCCAAACAACATATAAGAGTAAATCAACAAACAAACTGAAAAAATTCCAAGACCATAACTTGAAATCCTGACAACAACATAACAACTCATACACAAAGAACGACATGAGAAAGACCCTGGGGGAGGGGGGGAAGGGAGACCTTTTTCCTCAAAACATGAGAGGCTACATAGAGCATCTAGCTACTGCTAGAATAGCATAATCTTACCCTCCAGCTGAACTCTCCCTTTTTCTCTCTGTTCTAAAATTGCATTGGTTGCTTTGCTAAAAATATACTTCAAAGTCGTCATAGTTGTTGGTCCTGGCTTGTCTTTTTCTGCCTCTGAGAGTAGCTACAGGAATGGATCACTGCAATTAGACTCTGGTGACTCCAAGAGACAGTTCATTCTTTTAGTTACAGAAAGGAACATACAAAAATGAGCCAGAGAGGAAAAAAAACAAAGCAAGACAACTGACTCTGAATATGGAGAAAACTACAAAAAATAAAGAGACGGCTATGGGCTTATTGCCAAAATCTCTAACTACAAAGAGGTGCAATACAATGCAGCTAAGGACAGCTTTTCCAAGAGCAGAAAGACAGACCCGTGTGTGCAAAATGCAAGCAAGAATTATTCTGTGCATGCACTAGTTGAATGGGAAGATTTATAAGGCAGGCAATATCCTCTATTAGACCAACACAGCAAGGAAAAATACAGAGAGCTTCTAAACCCCTCGCACAGTAAAGTTTGTCAGCTCTTCTCCATCCTAAAAGATCTCCCTCAGGAACAAGCATTTCTTGTTCTCCAGTCCAGATTCTCCCTTTTGTGTTTTCATATTAAGGCTCCTCGTTAGAGTCCCCAGATATTCCTAAACAACTCTTCCTTATTGGTATTTTCAGCCCTTATTTAGTCAAACCCTACATATTAGGTTTTTCTTCCCTTTCAATGGCATGACAGTTTTCCATAGTCTTCTCTGTAAGAAGACCTGATTTGCCAAATTTTTTTGGTAATAAGGCACACAAGTTTGTATTATTTGCCGGTGCCAGAAGGTATCAACAAACAGTTCCTCTTTCGATAGAGCCTGCAGAAGGTGAACTTTCAGGCCCTGGATTATTGGAACAATGAGCCAAAGGGCCCCGGGACACAGTAAACAGCACTCGGAAGCCAGAGAGGCAATCGACAGTGGCTGGATTTCAAGGGAAAGTGACAGGCGTTTAAAATCAATTGGTATTTTCTGTTTCTGTTTGCTTGGAATGCATTTTTCTCCTCTCACTGGTCTTTTTTGCATTTTTTCTTTCATGCTGCAGCACCCCCACAACGCTCACAGACAGAAGTGAGGACTTCCACAGAAGCCCTTATGTATTGATAACATCTGCTCCCATGAAAAGAGGGCTAGGGGATCAAACTGCATTGCAAACAGTCTCGTAAGTATTCCTCATACCGCTCTACCAGTGATAATCCCAACAAAAACAAAACCAGCATCTTCTCCAGGTGTGGCCAGACTACAGAAAACAAGCATCCTACTTATCACTCACAGAGTAGTACTTGAATGGCAATGCATTTTCCAGAGCATGATTAAATGTTTCATTGGATAACTTCCTGTGTGGCATATTGATAAGTGGCAGCAGGCCCTTAACTGCAGCACTGCCCATAACCATCTAACCAGCTTAGAGCTCAGGGCTACATATTGAGACATACGGAGAGATGAAAGAAAGCACAAATACTCCACGTGGGATGCAGCCTTCTTAATAATAGGTGTCCACCATAGGATGCAACTACCTGATCGCTAGATGTCAAGGCATCCGTTAAAGTCAACGGAAGGAAGTCTAGGAAGTCAGTGTAGTTCATGTAGCTTAGGGCACAATGTATCTGACCACGTGCAGGGTGAGGCAAATCACACCTTAAACACTACTGACCCTAATGAGCACATCTGCACTAATTCACATATAGACCCCTGAAGTCAGGTGACTCAAATCATGTCTTAGCAGACCAGAATTTTTTCTGTTTGACTGAAACTGCTTTTCCAAATGGTTAATCAAAGCCACCTTATCCAGCCAAGAATGTGTTTTAAGCTGTTTGTCTTCCAGAACAGCAGGGCAATATTGAGCATTTTGGATCCAAAAATAACATGCCTCACAATTTGATAAATGCCCCCAAATGCTTAACCCTGAAAGTAGAACATAAGGCATGTCTCTTTGAGACCATCTGATGTAACAATCAAAGCAGTTAGGTCCGTTAGCTTGCAAGAGCCTATAGAGAACATCACAAACTAACTGGAGTCAAAATACATTCATTTATTTTGTTCTGCATGGCCAAAATTCATTCCACATACCTACAAGCACCCAGGTTAAGAGAATAGCCTCCTCCAGGCTTTTCTCCATAAACAAATGGAGACAGGTAGCTCCAAAGGGAGACTTGGCTCCACCTAAGATTTGATTTGTTCTTTGGATGTGCCTAGCTCTCACCAGAGATTATGAAGAAAACCAAGGTACCACAACTACCCTCTTGGCTCACAAACTTCAGTTAGACCTCAATGAGTCTCAGTAAAGAAAGCGTGCACAATTTAAGGTTGTATGTATAGAGACTTCCTCCCCACCCTCCGCTTCACTCCCCCTTATTCCCCCTGCAAAAAAACCCACAAACACAATAACTACGAAACAACAGAATGGTTGACACTTACAACATGAGTTACCGTGGCTCTGCTATTGGAGCCTGTCCATTTTCTTTTCCTACCTTGGGGATCAAGAATTGCATCTCAGTATTCTTATTGTAAGGATGGAGAAACCAACCTTTTCTTTTGCTATGAAACAACGAACACCAACTCTAAAGCGTACGGTACCCTGGCAGATTGTGTTTTGTATTTCAGGGAGTCCAGCGCAACATTTTCCTCATTCATTACTAGTAATCAAGCACTTGAAAGCAAATGAGAGAAGGTGCAGAGCTAAATACTGATTTGGAAAGAGGAGATGTAATCAAAATAATACAATTCTTGTCTCAGGTTTTACATATGATTTCTCAGCTCTGAGGAACAGAATAATTGATGCATGATATGTATAACTAACATTAAACAGTAAAGAAGGCTCAGAAAGTCGATCATCAATGGAAATAAACTTTGACTGAAGAAGAGCTAATATTAACTCTTCATAAAAAGCAATGAAAACACTCAACAACAACAGAAGAAAGTGACAGATATGCATTAACTTAATACAGAAAATCCAGTATCATTGAATGATGCACTGGGCATGCTATTCTAAAAGGTAACTATAATCTTATGGATGATTATATTATTAAGGGGTGATAATACTGACATTTGAGGAACACCAAGTAAGGAGAGATGAATCAAATGGCATGAGTATGCTCCCCATTAATCCTGCAAAACTCGCAAGGCTTATTCTAAAGTGATAATAATCAAACAGAAACAGGCACAGTAAAGAAAAAATTCTTAAGTACAAATTGCCATGAGATGAACAGAAAACAAGGCACAGAAAAATAATGTTTCCAAGAATGGGTAAGTGATCTCTACAGAACCACAGTTTTACTATCCTAGTTCTAGATGATGCAACCAGAAACTTCTCTTATGTCCCAAATTAGCTTCCATCTACTGGTGTTGGACCTCTCAGTGAGCAGGGTCTAAAAAGATAAATCTGACTAACCTACTCCTGCTACCTCTAAATTAGCAGCCAAAGTGTGTTCATAACACATTCACAACAAACAAGCCTACACATTACCCAGAAAGTTTTATCATGTTAACAATTCCAGGTTCTAAATCAAACATGCAACAACTAAACTGAAACCGCATTATCAGAAAGTAACACTTCAAAGAACTCATGCTCTATATGAAACCTAAATTATTTTCTCAGCATATGAAAGTCATCAGGATTGCAGTCATGCAAGCAGAAAATGGTATCATGATTTACATTTTAACACATTTCAGTTATTTATAGCTATTTTGTAGGGTGTAAAAGTGACTAAAAATATAAATTTTACCCAGGATTTTACTACATAAGGAAACCTGATTTGAGCTAGCCTTATAGCTGTCACAATAGAGTTAACAAAATGGTAGCTTATTTGAGCTATGCAACAAATTTTTTTTCTTCTATATATATAACTATACAGACACCTTCACATCCTACAGAAGTAGTGTTTCACAGGCTAAATAAAAAAAAATTTATCTGATTTTATTAAATTACAAAGAGACCCAGTTTCATAGATAACAGATTTACCTCTCCCACAGTAAAAACAATGCCTTAGCAGATGGCTTAAAAGACTCCAATGCTACTGCCAAAGTACTTCAGAATGAGACATATTATCACACATTTGGTGTAAGGTTGTGTTATTTAATTAAAACAATAAACAACTACCTGCAAAGAAACAAACTGTAAATTATATAACAAAAAACACAGTATGAATAAATAGAAAATATATACTGTTATACGCCAACGCTTTACACTTAGTGTGATAAAGCTTGGAAAGTATGTACAATTATTTTAGTTAGTCTTAGTAAACTTGGAAGATAACCAAGATAAAGTTGCATCACAACTGTCTGCAATAAATTATAAGTTTCAAGTTACACCGCTCCTAGTCTGGCATCAAATATTTTATATTAACAGGCCTAAATGCTCCCACTGAAGAGAAAAATACTTGCAAGCCCTCAAATGTTATAGAGTAAAATTTCTATTTTCCTGAAAAATATTTCAACTGCACATCCAAGCAGACTGAAAGATATCCTTGACTTCCAAAGGGGCAAGGCATCCTTTTACAAGCTGAAGACAAAATAGTAACAGGTTTTCATGAACAGATCCAAATCCTTACCTTTCTGTAGACAATCATATTGGGAGAACTCTCCTCTGGGTCAGCAGTTTCCACGTTACTTTGATCACCGGACGCCTGGGCCATGTTCACCTCTTGCTGCTCAGCCTGCAAATATGGGAGTAGAAATCAGGGTCACTCCAGGCTGCAGAGGACTGTGGCAAGACACATCACAGGTTGTAATGTAGACAAACAGAAGAGGAAGGTACAGAAGATAGCACACTCTGGACTGTATCTGATGTGGGATTTTATTGCACACATTCAGAGGCTATCTCAATTTTCGTCTGACCATAAAATGCTTTGATGTTACTCGTCTAAAGCATGATGCCTAAAGAGTAAGAAACAATTGCATACAATTTTAGTTTGAGTATACATACACACAAACGCTTCTTCTCCCCTTTTAAATAAAGGGCAGATTAACACTTCGCACACTTTCTTTTCTCATTATAAGGCACAAATGGCTCCTTATGGGAGCTTTTTATGTGCTAGACAGATCAAAAGCCAAAACAGGAAAAAAGCTTACTTTTTCTGAGTTAAATCTCAATGAAACCAGTAGGTGCAACAGACTGTCACGCACATTGCCATGTGCGCTAAAGGTATATAGAAGCCTATTCTGAATTAAGAACTTACACGGGTGCAGGTTCGCACTGGGCACTGTTTTGAACACAAGGATGAGCTAAGACTATCTGAGGGAGGAAGAGAAGAGCAGAGAGCAAGAGAGGTGAGGAAGCTCCATGAACAGTCAGGGAAGAAGGAACTAGGAGGGAGATTTTTTGGGGGTCCTGAAGGCCAGTGCAGAGCTGGCACAGCTGGTTCTTACACCTGGTTCTTACAGCTGCTTCTCCACAGCTTCTGGCACAGGGTAGAGGGTGGGCACAGGCTTTGCCCTCGCCTCCTCCAGCACCAGCCTGGCCCCAGGAGAACTGGGGTTGCCTTTTGACACTCAGAGCAGTCTCCTGGACTCAGAGCAGCCTCCCTGGTTCCTCTGAGTGG